CAGTTCTACCCCAAACCTTTCAGAATTCACGTCTCAGTGCCTCGGAACCTCAAGAGAGGGACCTTAATGAGGCATTAATGAATAATAATGAGGGGAAGTTCTGCTGCAGCAGAAGGATCACAGTGCTCAGAATTGTTGACTGATGGATTGAGAGTCCTTGTGTCACCTTTTGGGTTTTAATTCATGACTTTACCTGTTAGGTCTCCCTGCATTTGTCTCTCTGCGCTGCTTTTGCTTTTGGAGAGATCTTCACTTGGCTGTGTGAAGAAAAAAGAAAAAAAGAAAACAGAGAAGAAATGGTGAAGGAAAAGGCAAAGTTTGGGGGATTTTGAAAAGAATTCAGCTGGAGATTTCATTTCACTGCGTTGGGCAACCTGGTTGGCAGGACTGGTGGGGTTGGAAGAATAAGAGTCTGATGTTTGATGGGGGGAATGAAGCACAATATAAAAGTCTTCCATCAAACCCCGAGGAAACGCTTCATGAACACAGGGAGATTAAGGTTGGAATCAGAAAATAGTAGATTTTTTTTTAATTAAGTTTATCTCCGGGGATAATGTAAGCTCATGAGAACAGCGGCTGTTAGAGACAAAATTAATTTTCCTGCCCCTTTATTCAGACAGAAGAGCACAAAACGAGGCTCACCACCCACACTGCGCGAGTCCCACGCTGCCCAAAAGGAGCAGAAAAACAATTGAGTCCTATTTTAAAGGGCTTCTGTTGCTTAAGGGCAGAATTTTAGGTTCACAGGATCCAAACAGAATACGCCATATTCTACTCCAAATCGAACACACCGAATAGTTTCCACTCAGTGTTACCTGTTCTGCCACCACCACCCCTCTGCCAGCCAACTGGGATACCATTATTTTCTGTCTACTCCTTTCAAAGCCATAACTATTCTATTTTTCTGATCATTTCCCAGAAGACTTCGGGTGACAAAACAACTCCACTGTGGCTAATAATAATAATAATAATAATAATAATGATAATTTCTCCTCTAAAACAATTCTCATTCTTTGCCTACCGCAACAATCTCCCTTTCCATGGGCAGCTCTGCATCCCCATTGCCATCGGCGTCACCAATGAACATATCCACTGTCCTGTCGTACAAAAAGGGATGAAATAAATCATAGGCTCATTCAGGTTGGGAAAGACCGCTGAAATCATCCATCCCTGCCACAGAGGAAGGCTTCAGTGACCCAAAAGTTGGGTTTTGCCCCTCTTTCTCTACGTACGCGTTTCCAATCGAGATCTCAATGGCATCCAGGCTGCGGAATATCTCACTGTAGCGCTTCTTGTTTTCAGGTGCCCTTTCTTGGTGGTCGAGACCTGGGAATGGGGAAGAAAACATTTCACAGAAGGCCAAGAGCTCCTTGAGGTCTACAGAATGGTTTCTGGAGGTGCAGAGGAACGCAGTCGAGCTCCACTCTATCATGGGGATGCGACAAATTGTGATATCGTGGGGAGGCGCAGCCAGGTGATGCCCAGCATGAAATGGGATTCGAAAGAAAACACTGGATGATAAATTTCCCAGGGTTCCTTGGATGATGGAAAATGAGTGTGTGGATATCAGCAGGACACATTTGTGCTGCAGAAAGCTTTGTGACTATGGCTATGGGGTGAAGACCCCATAACACAACCAGTGGGGTCAATGGCTCTGCGTCCCGGTGGAAGTGGGACACGAGTGGTGCCCCCCCAGGCTCCATGTGGGACTTCAGCACTGTTATCCATGACATAGATGATGGGGTCAGTGCACCCTCAGCAGTTTGGTGGTGGCACTGAGCTGAGCAGCATGATTGGAACAAAGGAAGGAAGGGATCCATCCCAGACACGAGCAGAAAGTGGACCAGTGAGGTTCAACAATGCTTTGTCATCTTGAAGGACCCTTCCAACCCAACAATGCTGTGATTGTCTGGATCTGTGATCTTCAAGACTCCTTTCAACCCAAACACAACCCAACCATTCTCCGTTTCTGTGATTTTCAAGGTCCCTTCCAACTCAGCCCATTCCATGGTCGTATGATCTTTCAGGACCCTTCCAACCCAACTCATTTCATGATCCTATGATCTTTCAGGACCCTTCCAACTCAGCCCATTCCATGGTTGTATGATCTTTCAGGACCCTTCCAACCCAACTCATTCCATGGTCCTATGATCTTTCAGGACCCTTCCAACCCAATTCATTCCGTGGTCCTATGATCTTTCAGGACCCCTCCAACCCAACTCATTCCATGGTCCTATGATCTTTCAGGACTCTTCCAACCCAACTCATTCCATGATACTGCAATTCTACGATTCTCTGCCCTTCGTTCAGTGCTGGCAATGCACCAGCAGACCTGATGGAGGAGCTCATGGGGTACCACAACCTGCTGTGCACACACAAAAAGGAAAACAGAACTGCATGCATGGGTCCGATCAGCAGAAATGCTGGCAGCCCAAGAGTCAGCTTCTTAAGCGCAGAATTCACCTCTTCCTCATGCATCACGTGTGCATGGAGGTTCCTCAATCTGATTTCTGGTGAAGATCTGCCAATGGGGGCAGTTCTGGGGGGGGGCACACGAAATGGAAAATGGGCCCATCCCTCCATGGGGGGCAGTGGGTTCCTCCCGTAGACCTTTGTAAGCTGTAAGCGTGCTCTGCCTGTGGCCGTGCGTGGAGCAGGGCGGAGGTGACCAGATGTGGTAATTAATGCTGCTAATTGCTCACGTGTGTCACCGAGGGCAGAAGTAAAACTCTGCGTGGGCTGAGAGCTGCTGTAGAAAAGGGTAAAAAAAAGAAAAAAGAAAAAAAGAAAAAGGAAAAAAAAAAAAACAAAACACTTTAAAGTATAGAAACGGGCAGCGGTGGTGAAAAACAAACAAAAGAAAACTTCACTCTTCTTTGTCCTTTCAACATCCCAGGAAGCAGGATGTGGTTGACCTCAACCTGAAGTTGCTTCACTCGTCGTCGTGTTTGCAGCAGTGCGCGCGAATGTCACAAATGTCACTCTGATGGCGCTTGAAAAAGTCAGAAAAAGCAAAAAAAATGTGTTTTTTTCTGTGTCAGCAGTGAGGGACCGTCAACGCCTTTTGGCACCGAAGATCCAACAGCTGCAAATCTGAGGTTTGCCACTCTCATGGCTAGGAACACGAAGGGCGCCATGGGAAGATTCTCCTGTGCCCCACCACCCTCTTTTTCAGATGTTTGCATTCCTGAGTTCATTCTTTCTTTTGTGGAGTCCACAAATTGGATTTGGTCGTGCAAAGGAGATAACTTTTTCCCGAAACAAGGTGCTAAAATCCTGCTGGTATTGTTCCCAGTGATTTGGGCACTCTGGAAGCACTTTTTTGTTGTTGCTGTATTGGCAAACAATGCATCTGTTTTCTTGCTTTCTTGCCCCAAATCAGCACCATTGATTAATTGCAGCTTATATTACAGCCTCGCATACAACTCTGTCTTCTGAGGGAAGTTATGATCACGCAGAACAAAAATGCCAACTGAGACAATCCTCCCCCGAAAAAGCGCCTCTTGACATGTTCTATATTTTCTAACACCACATCAGTGATGATTCTTTCCTTTTTAAGTTTAGCATCCTCCAATTTGCACACGGGAACGCTCCCAAACGACTCCTGACTGATTTGCCTCCTCGTTGCTGAGCAAATCCCCCGCATTTCAGCTTTCTTTCTTCCTGTGTTTTCATCCCAAAAGAAATGAGAGTGCAAAATGGGGCGAAGATGCTCATTTTTGGCCATAAAAGCACCAACGGAGCCATAAACTGCACCCAGCACCTCATTGGTAAATCAACATCCCCACCTCCTATCTAAGGGGGAGGGTCTATCAAAATTCTCTTTGTTCTTCTTTTGAATATAAACACCAATTGTTCGTATTCCAAGGCATAAATCTGAACTCAATAGTTTAATTGGAAGCCTCACGTCTTTCTTTGCCCGCTTGAGCAGATGTCTTTAATTTCTCTTGTTTACCACCAGTGGGAGATTGTACAACAGGAAGGAGTGACTCAACTCAGCAGTGCTGGCGATGGGGAGCGTGAAACATTTTGAAAGCAGCTCTTGTGCAGCCAGAGAAACAGCAACCTCAGCCTTCTCATCAATCCTTCGTTTAATCTGAAGCAAAATGGTGTTCCATGGAAGCAGGAAGGCAGAGAAAGCAAAACGAAGACGCGTCGCTTTTGTGATGGCCGCGATAAGGAAGTGGGGTCTGCCCAGTCACCCTGCAGCCTGCTCTCAAAGCAAAAAAGGGTGGCTTGAGAAATTAATAAAACTGAGAATATAAATCATTGTGTCGTTCTCATTTAGACAAGTTTTTCTTAGAATCGTGACTTTTTTTCCCAGACTTCCAAGGACATCAGGTCTACCCGTTAACCCATCACCACCGCGTCCACTCACAGAAGCATTGAGGTTGGAATAGGCCTCTAAGATTGTAAGTCCAGCCATCAAACCTGTTCTAGGATTGGATCTGGGGGCTGAATTTGGGGGTTGGATCTTGGGATTGGATGTTGAGAGGGGTTTTGAAATCACAGAATCATTAATGTTGGAAGAGACCTCAAAGATCGTTAAGTCCAACCAATGACCCACCCTCACCATGCCCACCCATGGAATCATAAAATCACAGAATTACGGGATCATTAAGGTTGGAAAAGACCTCCAAGAACATCAAGTCCAACCATCAGCACATTTTGGGGTGGGATTTTGGAATCATGGAATCAGTAGGATTGGAAATGACCTCCAAGATCAAGTCCTACCACTGATCCGTCACCATCCTACCACTGTTCCTGCTCAACCATGACCTTAAATAGAACTGTAGAGTCATTAAGGTTGGAAGAAACCTGTAAGATCATCAGTCCAACCACCAACCCATCCCCACCCGCAGAATTAGTAAATCATGGAATCATTAAGGTTGGAAATGACCTCGAGTCCAACCTTTAAACCCATTTTGGGGCAGGATTTTAGCATCACAGAGTCATAAAGGTTGGAAAGGCCAAGTCTGACCACCGACCCACCCCCCACCGTGCCCATAGAATCATGGGATCCTTCAGGTTGGCTTTGAGGTCTCCCAGCCTTGAGGTCAGCGACGGTTGGGTTGCAGATGTGAGCAGAGCAAATTAAGCCAATTTGCATGGCAGGGGGTGTTGGAACGAGGTGATGCCTTTTGGTGTCACCTTTAGCTTGGTCCTTTCCAACCCAATCCACTCTATATTCTCAATTCTGCATCTCCGAGGGTGATTTTGGTTTAATTTCTTCTCATTCTCTCTATCACTCAACCGAGGGCAGAAATCCCATCCGTACCAACACGGGGCCCGAAGGAAGCTGCAACGTCCAATAAAAACATCACAATATTTTTAGCAGCCCTTGTTCTGCAGTTCAGCAGAAGCATCACTTCCCTTTCAGCCGGGCTATGAGATAACTGCCCCGAGCCCTCAGCACCGCCGGCGGATTTTGGTATCACAGCTCTGCTGTGAGATTTCCTGGCAGTGCCTTCCTCTTCTCTGCACTCGGTTTTGCAGTTTGCAATGCAATATCCGAAGTTTTTCCACCAGGGCAAAGCTGGTCCTGCGTACCAGGGCTCAACGCATCTCAGCAGCAGATGTAGAAAATCCACTTCTTGCCGACTTTTTGGTTAAAAAAAAAAAAAAGTGAGGCCAAGAGAAAAAAAATCCTCTGAAAGCCCAAATTGTCAGCGCTGCTTCTATGTGAGATCCTCCCCCTGCAGTGAGGCTGCGTCGTTCTGACTGCCTCTAGTTGTGCCTTGCTCAGCATCTCCCTGCCCAGCTCAGAATCACCCCAGTTCCTCACCAGTGCTGCTGTGAAACCAACACCACTTCCCATCTGTTGCTCGATTTCTCGTATTCTCTGCCCACTTCAGCGGGGGGAAAAAAAAAAAAAAGAAAGAAAAAATGGTGAAAAAATGAATTTATAAATCAGTTCATCACTGAGGAGGTCAGAGCTGCTAATTAACAGCTCCCGGTGGACAGGAAATAATAGCAAAGTCAGTTGTAAGTAGCAGCGTGCATTGACGAGGGGATTAATGAGGCGTGTCGAGGGGGTGAGATGAGAATTTCCACTTACAGCATCATTTCGTCTCGTTAAAACAAAAGTGTGCGAACTGCAAATGCTTCTCCGTTGGTGATGGAGGGAGGAATCAAAGACTCTCCTGGGCCAAGAATTATAGGGATGAGGAAAATAATCCACACACAAAACTTCATCGTTTTGGAGAAGGGCCGAAAATCAACCCTGAGGTTGTGTTGGTGGGAGGAACTCTGTGGGTGCAGAGGAGGACAGCCCAAAGGCAAAGGATGGGATTCTTGGTCAGATCTTAAAAGTTTCACCAAGAAAAACGTAGTTAAAATCAGAGATAATCAATGAATCCACCAATGGGGCGGCTAACTAGCCAATGGATGTGATTGCTAATTGATCCAGATATGGGATTGCTTCTAGAGGTCCCAGGCACTGCTCCTTGGTGGCCTAAGAATCATAGGGTCATAATGAATTTAATAGGCAATCAGCCTGCATCATGATCTGCTGGTGGAGTGCTCGGCGAGATAACGATCGTACAGCAACAATTAAGGCAGAATGCCGTTAATTAGCGTGCAATTGGGCTCAGAAAGGGCAGCAAGCAGCCTAATGCCTGCAAATGAATTGCAGATTTCCTTCCTCCAGGCTGGAAAAGTGCCTCAAAAAAAGCAGAGAGGGACCCAACAACAGCAGCTTTGCATGCAAACGCCATGAAAAGAGTGATATTCAGTCATGTTGATTCTGTTCTGTAGAGGATGGCCTAACAGATATTAATTTGGGCTTTATCACAATTTCTGGTCACGTGGGACCCAACAGAAAGTGTGCAAAGTGCCAACACTGAGAGAACACCGCGTCTCCTGTCTCCCAAAAATAGATGGTCTGCTCCATTTCCTCCTACCTAAGGCAACGTCAGAGAAAATTCGGGGAGAATTCAATGGAATTCAATGAGAATTCAATGAGAATTCAATGGGAGGTCAGCAAAATTCAATAAGAATTCAGTGGAATTCAATGAGAATTCAAGAGAGTGCAGTGAAATTCAAGAAAAAATTCAACGAAATTCAGTGGGAATTGAATGAGAATTTGATGAGAGGTCAGAGAAATTCAATGAGAAGCCAACAAAATTCAATGAGAATTCAGTGAGAGTTCAGTGAAATTCAAGAAAAATTCAACCAAATTCAATGGGAATTCAATGAAATCAGGACGATCTGGATCTTGATGGAAACCCCAGCGGGTTGAATTGGCACCCAGAGCTGCAAGGCGACTCTCATGTCATTTCCTGCCCCCCAAAATACTTATGAAGACGACAGAAGGTTCTGATGCCATCACATACCACTTGGCTCCAGGTCTTCCATGGCCGAATCTTCAGTGCTTTGGTCTGAAAGCAGCAGAATCCCAAGTGACCCGACTCCGAAGCACGGCTGGCTTAAGCAAAAAGGGGATTTGGGGGTTGGATCAGAGGTTGGGAAGTGATCCCATCGCTGAGAGCTGCCCGAGACGACAGCAGAAGCGTCGGTGAATGCAGCCCATGGACTTCCTGCAGCTCGCTTCCGTGTAAGGGAACAGTTGTGGTGCATGTCTGCTTCACTGTGCAATTTGCATAGCTGGTGCTGGTGGGAAGGAACCACGGCAGAGCCCTCTGGTTTCAGTGCAGCAGCAGTTTTGCACTTTTTATACCCATGGAAAGCCTCGTTTTCTTGGGGGAAAGCCATGTTTCCAAACAGACCGATCTTTAGGTTCAAAAGGAGGAGAGAAAAGATGAACCTCTTTGGTCCCTGTGGGTTTACTGCACGCAGAACACCAGCGCTCCTGCCCACCAGACACCAAACCTCCACTCTGTTGTTGCTGAATTTCACCCTACAGGGAAAGAATTTCGAGATTCTGGGTTTTCTCCGTGGGACTGTGGGTCCTGCAAAGCTGGGAGTAATGGGAGTAATGGGGCTGGGAGGTTTGGGTGGTGAGAAGTCGGTGGGAACGGGGCAGGAGAGGTCCTTAATGAGCCATTCCCCCAGCTTCCTCATTAGTGGATTGCTCAAAATGGCTTCAGTTTGCCTTCATGCAGCAGTGATCTAACAGTGAGGTTGGAAATGGAAAATGTTTCTTCGGGGATTACAGACTGAAAAGAGCAGAGATTGAAGAGAACTTTGTCCCATTTCCCCACATATTAATGGGAGAAAACAATGGCAAAAGGTTTAGAAGTGACCTCTAAGGTCAGGTTGGAAATGACCTCAAAGAACACAAAGTCCAACCACTGACCCACCATCCTCAGTGGTCGCTCATAGAATTGTGGAGTTGTTACGGCTGGAAAAGATTTTCCAAGATTGTTGAGTCCAGCTGTTGCCCCACCGCCATCACAGCGCCCAGTCACAGAATCACGGGATCACAGGTTCAGGTGAAGTTGGAAATGAACTCCATGGAAAAGGGAAGGGAAGAGGAAAAGGGAAAAAAAGGAAAGGGAAAAGGGAAAAGGGAAAAGGGAAAAGGAAAAAGGAAAAAAGAAAAAGGAAAAAGGGAAAAGGGAAAAGGGAAAAGGGAAAAGGGAAAAGGAAAAAGGAAAAAAGAAAAAGGAAAAAGGAAAAAAGGGAAAAGGGAAAAGGAAAGAGGAAAAGGGAAAAAGGAAAAAGGAAAAAGGAAAAAGGAAAAAGGAAAAAGGAAAAAGGAAAAAGGAAATAGGAAATAGGAAAAAGGAAAAAGGAAATAGGAACGGTGTAGGGAAGGGGGAAAGGGAAAGGGAAGGGGGAAAGGGAAAGGGGA